GATAGCACTTGTGACACTTTTTGTATATAAAGGTTGGGTACATGTATTTAAATCTCCCTGCTTGTTTTTTTTTTAGTTGCGTTTATAATAAGGGAGACTTCGTCATGGGTTAGTCGGAGCTAGGAAAAACAGTGTGTTGGGTAGTTGCAGAGAGGTAATCATTTGGTGGGGGTCTGAGCTTGGGAAGGATTTTATTGCAAGGTTTGTCCTTATGAGAAGAAATCATTGAGTCTGTTTGCATGTTTCTGGTTTGGTGGGAGGTTGGGGTTCATCTGATTTTTGCTATTGTTATTTCGCTATTTCGTGATATCTTTTTAGTTCCCAGATTTTTGATAGGGTTTTCCAGGTCTTTTTTTTTTCACTAGTAAGTTGGAATAATCTGTTCTAATAATACAATTTGTTTGCCGTTTTATCAGGCTGGTTGGATTGTACGGGCGTAAACGTTTTGTTTGGTCTCTGGTTATGTGACCATTCTGTACTGTTTTTTCATATCGGTGTTTTGTAGTTATGGATTTGAGAATGTTGGGGTGTTAGCCAGGTGACTGTTCAGGTCTCCTAGCTGTCATTGTTTAGTTTTTTTTAGCGGCAGTGCTTGTTATAGAGGTATTGGGTCTTTTTTTTGAAATTATTAATACCATCGTCAAATATCTGTATAGATTTCGCTCCAGTGTGACCAGTCACATGTCTGTTACTGCTGTTGTGAAGTTATTAATGGTTTGCCTCATTGTGAAGTCTGAAGGTGACTTTAGTAGTGTCTTGGGGTAATTTACCAAGAGTTGTTATGAGGAAAGTACGGTAGTGGTCTGTGGTATTATCTGTGATTATGCCTGATTTTAAAGGGGATATGATGTTGGTCCAGATGTGGTCAAGTAGGGAAACACTAGTCTCCGTAACTCTTGTAGGTTTTGTTACTGTTGGTAGCAACATGCAGTTACTCATTGTGTTTGTGAATTCAGTAACGTGTGGGTCCTGGTCTTGCAGGAGATTTATATTGAAGTCACCTGTGAGTAGTAAGTGATCTTTGTTCATGCGTGCATCAGTTATCATACTTCCTAGGTTTTGACTAAATTGGCTAATGTTTGACTGTGGAACTCTGTAGATGTTTATCAATGTGAGAGGTTTTTGTAGGTATTTGGATTTGAATTTAGCTATTATATATTCCCTATGTTCATCCCTTGTACAAGTATTAGTGATACATTCTAGTTGGTCTGAGTAGTATATAGCTGTGCCACCCCTTGTTGGTCTGGCCTACAGTTGTGTATGGCTGTGTAACCAGGAATGACATAGACATCAGTAATATCAGGCTTTAGCAAGGTTTCAGTTAGTGTAATGATGGACATATTGGCATGCAAGGAATTTAGTAATGCTATGAGGTCATCGTAATGCTTGCTTAAAGATCTGATATTGTAGTTTAAGACAGTTATATTGTTGTTGGCTCTGAGAAGTGCCTTTGATTGTTCTGCTGTGTAGTAATTACAGTAACTGTTTGATTCATTTAAGTCATTAAATAAGAGGTTGGTATCAGGATCAATGCTTGTTATCATAAGATTTGTAGTGAATCTATAGTTAGAATTAAGTATAAAACAAAGTAAATAGTCTAAAGCTAAAAAATAGCACCTGAATTATTTAACAAATGTAAAAATAATGAACTAAGGTAGTTTTTTAAAGCTAAAATAAAGGAGACAATATAAAAGGGACTAAAAAAATTTGCGGTGAACAAATAAAGTGATGATCAAATAATGGAGCTTGGGAATATGATAGTAGGTAGTACTTTAAAGGTAATTCTTTAAAGTTAGAATTATAATATAAAATTATAATATAAAAGGGACTAATATAAGTTGTGGTGAACAATAAAGTGGTAATCAAATAAATGAGTTTTGGAATAGAATGGCAAAATTGTGAACTTATTACACTTTAGCACCTGAGAATAGCACCTTGATTATTTTGACAATTGTGAATATATGAACTGGAGCACAGATCCAATTCCCTAAATCAAGAGCCCCTCACCAACATCAAGGAACCTTCCTTGAGGGGGTCCTATGTATACAGAACCATCAATATAAACTCTTCTCTGAAATTTTTCCTTGACAAGTGAAACACAACACACAGGTATAACACAAGACACCAAACACACTGACATCCCCGTGTCCGACTCAACTTATACAATAACTCAATACACATAAAAGGCCCTAAAATCTGAAATTCATCGAATGAAACATCTAAAGGTCTCCTGTTTGCCAATCGGTTCAGGGCTATTGTTAAAAAGCACCTCATCTCCCTAACGTAACTGAAACAGCAATACGCTGTCAAGTAAAGCCAGGTCATCAAACTATGTCCTGTCTTCCAGTCTTCCTTCAACACCCACAGAAAATTGGTTACACATCTTGTACCATTATATTTGTACTTTTAAGTAACTTCCTGAATCTTCAGTATGGGTGGCCCGGTGGCCTGGTGGCTAAAGCTCCCGCTTCACACACGGAGGGCCCGGGTTCGATTCCTGGCGGGTGGAAACATTTTGACACGTTTCCTTACACATGTTGTCCTGTTCACCTAGCAGCAAATAGGTACAAGGGTGTTAGTCGACTGGTGTGGGTCGCATCCTGGGGGGCAAGATTGAGGACCCCAATGGAAATAAGTTAGACAGTCCTCGATGACGCACTAACTTTCTTGGTTTATCCTACCTGGAGATTATTCCGGGGATCAACGCCCCTGTGGCCCGGTCCACGACCAGGCTGTTACTGCTGGCCGCACGCAGTCCAACGTACGAACCACAGCCCGGCTGATCCGGCACTGACTTTAGGTATCTGTCCAGCTCTCTCTTGAAGACAACCAAGGGTCTACCGGTAATGCCTCTTAGTACTGGTGGGAGGCTGTTGAACAGTCTTGGGCCCCGGACACTTATGGTGTTTTCTCTTAGTGTACCAATGGCGCCCCTACTTTTAATTGGGGGTATTTTGCATCGCCTGCCCAGTCTTTTACTTTCGTAGGGAGTGATTTCTGTGTGCAGATTCAGGACCATTCCTTCCAGGATTTTCCAAGTGTAGATTATGATATATCTCTCCTCTCCTTCGTTCCAACGAGTACAATCAAGTGCTTCCAAGCGTTCCCAGTAGTTAAGGTGCTTGACAGAACTTATACGTGCAGTAAAGGTTCTCTGTACACTCTCTAGATCTGCAATTTCACCTGATTTGAACGGAGATGTTAATGTACAGCAGTATTCCAGTCTAGAGAGAACAAATGATTTAAAAAGGATCATCATTGGCTTGGCATCTCTCGTTTTGAACGTTCTCATTATCCTTCTTATCATTTTCTTTGCACTTGTGATCGTGGCACTGTTGTGATCCTTGAAAGTGAGATCCTCAGACATTACTACTCCCTCACTGAACACCATATTGTTTTCCGTTGCCCACTGGAAAACTGTGTTTATATCTTCTTAGAGGTTAACTGTGTCCTCAATAGATGACAGCCTCATGCAGATCCTAGTATCATCTGCAAAGGATGATACGGTGTTGTGGGTTATATCTCTGTCTATGTCTGATATGAGGATGAGGAATAGGATGGGGGCGAGTACTGTGCCTTGTAGAACAGAGCTCTTCACTATGGCAGCCTCCCATTTAACTCTGTTGACCACTACTCTTTGTGTTCGATTGGTTAGGAAGTTGAAGATCCATCTCCCCACTTTCCCAGTTATTCCTTTAGCACGTATTTTGTGCGCTATTACGCCATGATCGCATTTGTCAAACGCTTTTGCAAACTTCTGTGTATATTACATCTGGAGTCTGATTTTCTTCCAGTCCATCCAAGACCATATCATAGTGATCCAGTAGTTGTGAGAGGCAGGAGCAACCTGCCCTGAACCCATGTTGCCATGGATTATGCTGTTTTTGAGAATCTAGGTGGTTTGCAATCCTGCTTCTCAGCACTCTTTCAAAGATTTTTATGTAGGACGTTAGAGCTATTGGTCTATAGTTCTTAGCTAATGCTTTGCTGTCACCTTAATGGAATGGGACTATATCCGTTGTTTTAAGTGACTGGAATTTCACCCATGTCCAAGCTCCTTCTCCATAGTGTACTTAGGGCACGTGAAAGGGGTTCCTTGCAGTTCTTAATGAAAACAGAGTTCCACGAATCTGGGTCTGGGGCTGAGTGCATATTGGCCTGGGTGGCTAACCCTCCGGGGTTAAAAATCCGAATGAAATCTTATCTTGTTAGGTAAGACACATATGCAACAGTTAGGTATCTTTATTTTGAAACGTTTCGCCTACACAGTAGGCTTCTTCAGTCGAGTACAGAAAAGTTGATAGAAGCAGAAGATGCTTCTATCAACTTTTCTGTACTCGACTGAAGAAGCCTACTGTGTAGGCGAAACGTTTCAAAATAAAGATACCTAACTGTTGCATATGTGTCTTACCTAACAATCTGTCGGTATTTTATACCATTTTAATGTTCAAATCTTATCTTATCTCTATTCAGTCACTCCGCTAAACTGAAGATAATTGAATCAGTTCGAAATAATAAGTCATACTTATGAAATTGTACCATTTGTTCATTAGCTACCTTTCTTATTGTATATTTGATTATAGTTAACTGTATAAGAAATCTTACTTAATAATTTATATCCAAATCTCAAGTAGTCTTTAGAATCATTAGGATTAGTTTCCAAGAAATACATTGCATTCTAATGGCTGTCTTTTGTGTCTACCAATGTTTCATCACATATAAACAAATTTATTTTGTACCACATAAAGAAATAAGAATTCGTATTTGTATTTGTGATTATTATTATTATTATAATCAAGGGGGAAGCGCTAAACCCGGAGGATTATACAGTGCCTGGGGGGGATGTGGAAGGCATTCAGGCTTAATTCGGGGAACTTGAGCACAGATCCAATTCCCTTAATCAAGAGCCCCTCACCAACATCAAGGAACCTTCCTTGAGGGGACTTGTATTTGTGAAGTATGACTAAAAAAATAATAAATAAATGGAGACAGTGCGCATGTTGAGGTTCAGGTGTTGTGGTAACTTATAGTAAACAAACGTTGGTGGCACCGAGGCTGCTGTGCTACTACACTACTCTGCTTCTCTGCTTCTCTCTTGACACTCTACAGTCAAGATGCCTCGTGTTATGATTAAGGGAGGTGTTTGGAGGAACACAGAAGTAAGTGACAGATAAAAATGTATGGAAAATACAGTGTTTATCATGGGAAACATCACTGCTCTTATTTTCAAGCTTGCATGTAGACTTAATTTTTTCAATACCTTAGTAATCATGGTTTATCATAGTATTTTTTATATTTTTCAGTTGCTTGTTGAGCAGTATTTGGTACATTCTAAACCTAGCAATAAAAGTTTGGAAATGGGGTTTATATTATTAAACTAAAATGTACTACATTGTTTACCTGGAGTTTACCTGGAGAGAGTTCCGGGGGTCAACGCCCCCGCGGCCCGGTCTGTGACCAGGCCTCCTGGTGGCTCAGAGCCTGATCAACCAGGCTGTTACTGCTGGCTGCACGCAAACCAACGTATGAGCCACAGCCCGGCTGGTCAGGAACCGACTACCCTAATGTGTAAAATATTTTTACAAAAGTAGGGAAACTAATTGCTTACTTAACAACCATCGTACAGGATGGTTTGCTCTCCAGACAAAATGTATTTTCACTTAAGGTAATGAAGACTATTAGCCTGAGCTGGATGACTTCAATAAGGTGATAGGGATATCATCAAGCATTATACTATGGGTTAGGTTGCAATTGGAGCTGTGATCTTATATAGTGTGAAATTAAAGTTGGTTGCAAACTTATTGCCATAGTTTTCATTAAAAGTATCACAGGCCTCTATGATACTTGAAGTCTGTGAGTGATTCCGAAGGTTTGGTGACTTGTTAAAATATAACCACGAGTTATCTAACAACAAAATTTAGGTTTAGGTTGTGTTTTTTAATGTAAATTCTCCAGTATTAAGTGACTTATTAACACATCTTGTCCCATTGTATTTCTGTTGTAACTAAGTAACTTGCTGTATCTTCACCACCTCTGTTCAGTCACTCCACAAAACTGAAGATCATTGAATCATTTTAAAATAATGAGTCATTCTTTTGAAACTACTATTTCTTCATTAGCTACCTTTCGTATTGTACATATGATTGTAGTTAAGTGCATAAAATCTCCTTAATAATCTGTGTCTAAATCTTAAGTAACTTTTAAGCATTAGGATTAGTTTGCCCAAAATGCATTGCATATTAGTGGCTTTCTTTTGTCCCTCCTAATGTTTTCTTACATGTAACCTGCATTATTTGTATCACATAAAGAAATTAAAATTATATTGTACTGTAAATTACTACATTATGATTATGCAAAATCTGTAAAACTTGTCTAAACCTACCATCATGCTTAGCTCATCTGAACCGCAAATATCATCATCTAAGTAGGAGGCAACACCCTCCATCTTAGCAGACAATTGGGAAGTGAATCTTGAAAAAATACCAGGAGGATGAAATCCCAAATGGTAACCTATTAAACTTTAAAACCCTTTAAGGGTACTGATCATCAAAATCTCTTGGTTTTTCCTCAGTGATCAGTATTTGCAAATAAGCATTCTGCAAGTCAATTTTGGAAAATATCTTACCATTACCCACTACAGACAATAACTCTTCAATTCACAAATCATCATAGCTTTTGAATCAGGCTTTAGAACTGGCACAGTATGAGAGAGATTCAATAACTTCCTAATTAATAATTTGTCTGAAGGTACTCCAATCATTTGTCTGATAAAAAGGAACCGGTCTAGCTTTAACAAATTTGAGATTAGCATTACTCATTAAGTGAATCAGTGAATCATTACTATGATGCTTCAGATAGGTTTATTGGAATCTACAAAAAAAAATTCAAACACTTCCTCAGGACTGTCCAGTTTATTAAGTTTAGAAGATTCCTCTAATCCAGATAGACAGATTCCGACTTGGAGCACAAGATCTTCACCACCAAATTTCTGTTAGTATTCTCTACATAAAATAGTTGTGACACTTCTACATCATTGTTGCATACTGATGCCACAACTTTGCCCAGTACTAATCTGCAGATTGTCATATGCACTCACATTCTTAGCACATAGATCATTGTACACATTTAATAATTTTGCTCACTCCTTGGACTGTCAGTTTCAAAGGGGACCTCTTTCTTGTCAAATGGCTACAAAATTATATTAGTAAGCAGTCACAGTAAATACTTTGTATTTAACCCTTTCATTGTCCAGACCACCAAAATTAATATTGCTTTCAGCATCTCCAAGGAGATTCATGAACGGTTAAAGGGTTCTGTCCTCACCTATGGAAACACCATCATGCTTGCTCAGAACACCTGCCCTAGCAGAAAAAAAATGTTCTGCCAGAAACCTCTTGGCTAAGACCTCTCGATCTTCTAGCCATTCCACTCCATATACTATATACTTTGTCTAGAATCCCATAATTGTTGCCGCTGGTTGAAGGAGAATTAAAAGACCAAAAAAAAAAAAAAGTGCACACGATCTCCCAACAAAAACAGAACAGTAGATGCCACAAACCACAAAAGTATAAATTACTTTTTTATTATTTACTATTAACACTTTGGCAAGCCAGGGTGACCCAAAAGAGAAGAAACAGTTTAATCATCATCATTCATTCAATCACCGTCTTGCCAGAGGTGAGCCTTCACTACAGGTAAAAAACTATGACATATCAACACCCCTCCTTCAGAGCACAGGTACTCTACTTCCCACCTCCAGGACTCAAGTCTAGCTTGCCAATTTCCCTGTATCCCTTCATAAATGTTACTTTGCTCATACTCCAACAATACGTCAAGTCATAAAAACCATTCATATCCATCGCTCCTATCTAACACACTTGTACACGCTTCCTGGAAGTTCAAGCCCCTTGTACGCAAAACCTACTTTACCCCCTCCCTCCAACGTTTCCTAGGCCAACCCCTACCCCGTCTTCCTCTACAGATGTATATGCTCTCCAAGTTGTTCAGTTTCGTTCCATCATCTCTAAATGTCTGAATCACCTCAACAACCCTTTCTTAGCCCTCTGGATAATACTTTTAGTAACCCTGCACCTCCTCCTAATTTCCAAACTATGGATTCTCTGCATTATATTCACACTACATGTTGCCCTCAGACACAACATCTCCACTACCTCCAACCTTCTTGTTGCAGCATTCATCACCCATATTAGAGCGTTGGTATAATTATATTCTCATACATTCCACTGTCCTTCCCTGTATAACATTCTTTGTCTCCACAGGCTCCTCAGTGCACCACTCACCTTTTTCCCTCATCAGTTCTGTTATTCCCATTGTCTTTCATAGGCCCATCTGCTGACAATTCCACTCCCAAATATCTGTATATATTCACTTTCTCCATATCCCCTCCCTCCAATCTAACATCCAATCTTTCATTACCTAAAATTTTTTGTTATCCTTATCTTACTCTTTCCTATGTTCACTTTTAATTTCCTTTTACATACCTATAGGTAGTAGGTTGGTAGACAGCAACCACCCAGGGAAGTACTACCGTCCTGCCAGATGACTGTGAAACAAAAACCTGTAACTGTTTTGCATGATGGTAGGATTGCTGGTTTCTTTTTCTGTCTCATAAACACGCTAAGATAACAGGGATATCTTGCTACTCCTACTTACACTTTGGTCACACTTCACAGACACGCACATGCATATATATATATACATACATCTAGGTTTTTCTCTTTTTTCTAAATAGCTCTTGTTCTTTTTTATTTCTTCTATTGTCCATGGGGAAGTGGAAAAGAATCTTTCCTCCGTAAGCCATGCGTGTCGTATGAGGCGACTAAAATGCCGGGAGCAATGGGCTAGTAACCCCTTCTCCTGTATACAATTACTAAAAAAGAGAAGAAGAAAAACTTTATAAAAACTGGGTTGCTTAAATGTGCGTGGATGTAGTGCGGATGACAAGAAACAGATGATTGCTGATGTTATGAATGAAAAGAAGTTGGATGTCCTGGCCCTAAGCGAAACAAAGCTGAAGGGGGTAGGAGAGTTTCAGTGGGGGGAAATAAATGGGATTAAATCTGGAGTATCTGAGAGAGTTAGAGCAAAGGAAGGGGTAGCAGTAATGTTAAATGATCAGTTATGGAAGGAGAAAAGAGAATATGAATGTGTAAATTCAAGAATTATGTGGATTAAAGTAAAGGTTGGATGCGAGAAGTGGGTCATAATAAGCGTGTATGCACCTGGAGAAGAGAGGAATGCAGAGGAGAGAGAGAGAGATTTTGGGAGATGTTAAGTGAATGTATAGGAGCCTTTGAACCAAGTGAGAGAGTAATTGTGGTAGGGGACTTGAATGCTAAAGTAGGAGAAACTTTTAGAGAGGGTGTGGTAGGTAAGTTTGGGGTGCCAGGTGTAAATGATAATGGGAGCCCTTTGATTGAACTTTGTATAGAAAGGGGTTTAGTTATAGGTAATACATATTTTAAGAAAAAGAGGATAAATAAGTATACACGATATGATGTAGGGCGAAATGACAGTAGTTTGTTGGATTATGTATTGGTAGATAAAAGACTGTTGAGTAGACTTCAGGATGTACATGTTTATAGAGGGGCCACAGATATATCAGATCACTTTCTAGTTGTAGCTATACTGAGAGTAAAAGGTAGATGGGATACAAGGAGAATAGAAGCATCAGGGAAGAGAGAGGTGAAGGTTTATAAACTAAAAGAGGAGGCAGTTAGGGTAAGATATAAACAGCTATTGGAGGATAGATGGGCTAATGAGAGCATAGGCAATGGGGTCGAAGAGGTATGGGGTAGGTTTAAAAATGTAGTGTTAGAGTGTTCAGCAGAAGTTTGTGGTTACAGGAAAGTGGGTGCAGGAGGGAAGAGGAGCGATTGGTGGAATGATGATGTAAAGAGAGTAGTAAGGGAGAAAAAGTTAGCATATGAGAAGTTTTTACAAAGTAGAAGTGATGCAAGGAGGGAAGAGTATATGGAGAAAAAGAGAGAAGTTAAGAGAGTGGTGAAGCAATGTAAAAAGAGAGCAAATGAGAGAGTGGGTGAGATGTTATCAACAAATTTTGTTGAAAATAAGAAAAAGTTTTGGAGTGAGATTAACAAGTTAAGAAAGCCTAGAGAACAAATGGATTTGTCAGTTAAAAATAGGAGAGGAGAGTTATTAAATGGAGAGTTAGAGGTATTGGGAAGATGGAAGGAATATTTTGAGGAATTGTTAAATGTTGATGAAGATAGGGAAGCTGTGATTTCGTGTATAGGGCAAGGAGGAATAACATCTTGTAGGAGTGAGGAAGAGCCAGTTGTGAGTGTGGGGGAAGTTCGTGAGGCAGTGGGTAAAATGAAAGGGGGTAAGGCAGCCGGGATTGATGGGATAAAGATAGAAATGTTAAAAGCAGGTGGGGATATAGTTTTGGAGTGGTTGGTGCAATTATTTAATAAATGTATGGAAGAGGGTAAGGTACCTAGGGATTGGCAGAGAGCATGCATAGTTCCTTTGTATAAAGGCAAAGGGGATAAAAGAGAGTGCAAAAATTATAGGGGGATAAGTCTGTTGAGTGTACCTGGTAAAGTGTATGGTAGAGTTATAATTGAAAGAATTAAGAGTAAGACGGAGAATAGGATAGCAGATGAACAAGGAGGCTTTAGGAAAGGTAGGGGGTGTGTGGACCAGGTGTTTACAGTGAAACATATAAGTGAACAGTATTTAGATAAGGCTAAAGAGGTCTTTGTGGCATTTATGGATTTGGAAAAGGCGTATGACAGGGTGGATAGGGGGGCAATGTGGCAGATGTTGCAAGTGTATGGTGTAGGAGGTAGGTTACTGAAAGCAGTGAAGAGTTTTTACGAGGATAGTGAGGCTCAAGTTAGAGTATGTAGGAAAGAGGGAAATTTTTTCCCAGTAAAAGTAGGCCTTAGACAAGGATGTGTGATGTCACCGTGGTTGTTTAATATATTTATAGATGGGGTTGTAAGAGAAGTAAATGCGAGGGTTTTGGCAAGAGGCGTGGAGTTAAAAGATAAAGAATCACACACAAAGTGGGAGTTGTCACAGCTGCTCTTTGCTGATGACACTGTGCTCTTGGGAGATTCTGAAGAGAAGTTGCAGAGATTGGTGGATGAATTTGGTAGGGTGTGCAAAAGAAGAAAATTAAAGGTGAATACAGGAAAGAGTAAGGTTATGAGGATAACAAAAAGATTAGGTGATGAAAGATTGAATATCAGATTGGAGGGAGAGAGTATGGAGGAGGTGAACGTATTCAGATATTTGGGAGTGGACGTGTCAGCGGATGGGTCTATGAAAGATGAGGTGAATCATAGAATTGATGAGGGAAAAAGAGTGAGTGGTGCACTTAGGAGTCTGTGGAAACAAAGAACTTTGTCCTTGGAGGCAAAGAGGGGAATGTATGAGAGTATAGTTTTACCAACGCTCTTATATGGGTGTGAAGCGTGGGTGATGAATGTTGCAGCGAGGAGAAGGCTGGAGGCAGTGGAGATGTCATGTCTGAGGGCAATGTGTGGTGTGAATATAATGCAGAGAATTCGTAGTTTGGAAGTTAGGAGGAGGTGCGGGATTACCAAAACTGTTGTCCAGAGGGCTGAGGAAGGGTTGTTGAGGTGGTTCGGACATGTAGAGAGAATGGAGCGAAACAGAATGACTTCAAGAGTGTATCAGTCTGTAGTGGAAGGAAGGCGGGGTAGGGGTCGGCCTAGGAAGGGTTGGAGGGAGGGGGTAAAGGAGGTTTTGTGTGCGAGGGGCTTGGACTTCCAGCAGGCATGCGTGAGCGTGTTTGATAGGAGTGAATGGAGACAAATGGTTTTTAATACTTGACGTGCTGTTGGAGTGTGAGCAAAGTAACATTTATGAAGGGATTCAGGGAAACCGGCAGGCCGGACTTGAGTCCTGGAGATGGGAAGTACAGTGCCTGCACTCTGAAGGAGGGGTGTTAATGTTGCAGTTTAAAAACTGTAGTGTAAAGCACCCTTCTGGCAAGACAGTGATGGAGTGAATGATGGTGAAAGTTTTTCTTTTTCGGGCCACCCTGCCTTGGTGGGAATCGGCCGGTGTGATAATAAAAAATAAAAAAAAAAAAATACCCTATCAAACTCGTCCACCAACCTATACAACTTCTTGTCAGAATCTCCCAAAAGTACAGTGTCATCAGCAAAATAGTAACTGTGACAACTCCCACTTTAGATTCTTTATCTTTTAATCCCACACCTCTTCAATCCTGTGTTACAGGATTACATTCACTGCTCTCCCTTCTAAATGCCCCAGAAAATGATATTCTTATTTTGCCTTTTTATCACCTAAATAAACAATTTCCATAGCATATAACTATTTTTCCTGTACAGTAGATAACAGGGTTGTTATTTATAATATAAAATAATAAAGGATTTCTGTCCCTGGAAAAATGTACATAATGACCAGATTTAGTTTAGGTCAAGGTAGGTCATGTTATGTTATATTACATTATATTGGATTTTGTTTGTGCTTGGCAATAGTTTTGCTAAATTTACTTATGGAACTGAGGAAAGCTCATCAAATTTCATTTTCAATAATGAATTTGTTTTCAGATCAATAAGTCACAGTTATATGTAGTTTACTAGGCATCTTGAGGGTTTCTGTTCACTAAGTAAGAATGCAAGTATGCAGTCTTCTTTAGCAAAATCACTAAAATGGCTTTCAGAGACTCTTGCAATAATCTGATTTTTTCCGTATATTCTGTAAAACTGCCATTATCTTCAATACATTCACTCTGTTCTTTTAAATGTGGAAACTGGCTCAAATCCTCATTTTCTAAATGAGAGGTAAACAGTTTTAACTTCATCTTGAATGCCCTGATATATACTAAGCTAGGAAACAGTTTGTTCTTGCCCTGCAGTTTCAAATTTAGATCATTGGGATGGCTGGTAACATCTCTTAAAAATTTTAAACCTTTTATTTGATAAACAGCCATTTGTTATTACATAAAAGTTTCCTGTCAGAACCTGTCCTAGAAAGCTAGCACACCTCACAATGAAGGATGAGATCACCACATTCCAAATCAAACAAATCACAATATTCTCTGAATTCTCTGTAATCCTCTTGCTCTAATTTTATTCACACATTTCAGAACCAGTAGCATAATGTGTGCAAATTTAAAGTTTTTCCTCACAGTGACTCTTGGTGTGTATAATAGTGATATTTTAGTAGAGGATGACCTAAAAAGATTTCAAGCAAAGTTGCAGTCCCAACTACTTTGCCTTGGTAAAATTTATGTAATGTAATACAGTAGACCCTCATAGTACACAGTAGTTACAATCCTGAAAATGCTGTGTAGATAAAAATCCGTGTTATATAAACTGAAGAATTTATGGGGAAAATAGGGTTATGTTCCTGGGACACCCCCCCAACAGCCAAAAAAAAACTTTTTTTAAACATCCAGATCTTTCAAAAATAAAAATAATGATATCGTTTTTGTTGCCTAAAACTACAAATGCAACAGATATAATAATATTTACTTTAAATTGTGGTTGCTGGTGTATGTCAGTGATTGTGAAGAGAGTGAAGATGCATGGTGTGGACATACTGGGCTGAGGTGGATGGTTGTTGGTTGTCGGTAGAAGTGGATGGTTGAGGTTCTGCTACGAAAGTCGATGGTTGTATTGGAGTGCACATAAATTTTGTAATGGATCTCTGGCTTCTTTTACCCTGCAGTACATTATACATTATTCCAGAAGCTTGGTACTGCCAGGTTGGAGTCAGAGTCCATTGATGCAACTAGTTGTTTCATCACTTTTCTTGTGTAGTTACACAATGACTTAATAACTCCCCGATCCAGTGGCTGTATTAAAGATGTTGTCTTTGGAGGTAAAAATACAACTTTTACATGTGGGGTCACATCCAGCAAAGCTTCTGGATGAGTTTGGGAATTATCAAGAATGAAGAGAGCCTTGAATTCAAGGTTCTTGCTGTGCAGGTAAAACTTGACTTCAGGAATAGTGATGCTTAAACCAGTCAATAAATAGTTCCTCTGTCACCCAAGCTGACTGGTTTGCCCTCCAAATTACTGGTAAGGTGTTTTTATCTACACCTTTCAAAGCACAAGGATTCTTAGAGTGGTAAATAACCATGAGCTTACACTTGAAATCACCTGATGCATTACCACAGAGGAGCAAGGTGAAGTGATCCTTTGCTGCCTTGAAGCCTGGTACAGCCCTGTGGAGACAGTAGTCTCACCCACAGACAGGCGGTGGCCTGAGCTAGGGAAATATCCGGCAGGTGATACTTCTAATTTTTTCCCCTCTCGCAAACCGAACCATGTTAAGTTAATTTTACGAAGTGTTGTATAAAATTATGCTGCCATTTTTCAATAGTGTAATAACCAAAATGTACCAAATAAGTTCGTGTAATATGAGGGTCTACTATTTTATTATTTTTTATTAACACATTGGCTGTTTCCCACCAAGGCAGGGTGATCTGAAAAAGAAAAACTTTCACCATCATTCACTCCATCACTGTCTTGCCAGAGGCATGCTTACAATACAGTTATAAAACTGCAACATTAACACCCCTCCTTCAGAGTGCCGGCACTGTACCTCCCATCTCCAGGATTCAAGTCCGGCCTGCCGGTTTCCCTTGAATCCCACCAGCCTTCTTCTTGTTGCAACATTCACACTCCATGCCTCACACCCATACAGGAGAGTTGGTATAACTATGCTCTCATACATTCCCCTCTTTGCTTTCATGGATAAAGTTGTTTGTCTCCACAGACTCCTCAGTGCACCACTCGCCTTTTTTCCCTCGTCAGTTCTGTGATTCACCTCATCCTTCATAGATCCATCTGCTGACATGTCCACTCCCAAATACGTATCTGAACACATTCACTTCTTCCATACTCTCTCCCTCCAATCTGATATCCAATTTTCCATTACCTAATTTTTTTTTGTTATCCTCATCACCTTACTCTTTCTTATACTATAAATATATTCACTTGTGGTGCAGGTGTATATTCTTCCTCATTACTTGTTAATCAGATCCATTTTTTGTACAATAATTATTTAGGTGCATTTGTGTAGGGTTCATTTGTTTTTTTAGGTAGATACATTGTATTTCTTTTAAAAATTTTCAGGATGAAATCCTCAAAGCAGCTGTTATGAAATATGGCAAGAATCAGTGGTCACGTATTGCCTCACTACTTCACCGTAAGTCTGCCAAGCAGTGCAAGGCACGATGGTTTGAGTGGCTGGATCCAAGCATTAAGAAGACAGAATGGAGCCGTGAGGAAGATGAGAAGTTGTTGCATTTGGCAAAGCTTATGCCAACACAGTGGAGAACTATTGCACCCATCATTGGTCGTACAGCTGCTCAGTGTCTTGAACGTTATGAGTATTTACTGTAAGTGGAACATCACAGTAATTAGTGATATCATGAAGAATATTTTGAATGCTTTTTAAGAACTGTTTTAATTTGTTATTGTTTTTAAAACTTGTTACTTTTCACTGTACAGTTAAAAAGTGCACTAGGTGTTAAAATTGTGTTAATTTTAAAAATGTCTTTATAACTTTTTGAGGGTATAGTACAGTGAAAACTCCATAAAAACAAACTAATAGGCTGGAAGGGGTCTTCGCTTTAGCAAAAATTCATTCCAGTAAAACCTCTCATTAACAGATTTCTGCAATTTTGGACAAAATTAGCTGGACAAATGCTCTAATTATTGAATACAATGGACAAAAGTCTGTAATTTTGTCCATAGCAATAGTATCTGGTTGTCCTCTAAATTATCAGACCAAGCCTGATGACTCTGACATTTGCCCAGAGTGGCCATGTCCAGGATTTGTCTGTTTTCATTTTTCACTGAGCTGTAGGCCACCTTGCTTGGCCTGGTGGACAGTACAGGCAGACCAACCAGGCAGGTATGCATCGTGGCTGGTGGGCTCTCTAGTTGGCTGCCTGGCCGGCTGCCTGGCTGGCTGCCTGGCTGGCTGCCTGGCTGGCTGCCTGGCTGGCTGCCTGGCCACCTGCCTGGCCACCTGCCCGCCTGCTTGTCCAATCTGTTTGTCTTGCCTGCCGTGCCCTCCTTGATCATTGAAGCTAAAATGTTGGGTAACTTGAAAAACAGGCTGGACAAATTTAAGCGTGAGAAAGATTGTATTTCACTAGGACTTGCCTAGCATAGACCAAAAGACCTACTGTAATGCTCTAATGTAATGTAATGAGTAGAACCTACCTAGCATGAGCAAGTACAGCAGGTCTGCTGAAATGCTCCCATAGTTTTATGTTAAAGCGTTAGTTTTTACCATTTCCCTCCTCAAGTTTTGAGTAAAATACATGTAGCACTATTTCTATAAATTACAATAGAATAGCACTAGTACTACAAGTTAAAATAGTACAGTGGTACCTTAAAGGACCCCAATGGAAATAAGTGACTCTGTCTGACTTTTTCGGGTTATCCTAGGTTCTCTACACATATGCTGCTATGTATGATAATTCTGTGTAACTGTATTTGTGTATACCTGAATAAACTTACTTACTTACCTTGACTTATGAGTTTAATTCATTCTGTGACCGAGCTCGTAAGTCAATTTGCTCTTACGTATATCAAATCAATTTACCTCATTGAAATTAATTGAAATGCCATTAATTCATTCCAGCCCCCACTAAAAACCACCCCAATTGTTTGTTACAGGTTTTTAAATAAGAAAAATATACAGTAGGGCCCCACTTGTACAGCAGTTTAGGTTCCAGGCTACTGCTGGAAAGCAGACATCACTGGAAAGCAGAACGCCATTTTTTCCACTTATAAATGCATATACAGTGGACCCCCGAGTTTCGTGATTAATCTGTTCCAGAGAGCCCGCCGAAGGTCGAAATTCACAAAACTCGAAACCATTTTCCCCATAAGAAATAATGGAAATAAAATTAATCCATTCCAGACACCCAAAAATATTAAAATAAAATATTTTTTTTCAAATTAAATAAAGATTTACAAAATGAAAACAATCAGGAATCAAGTACGTACATGCATTTAAAAAAATAATAATAACATTACACTTACCTTTACTGAAGACTTCTGGGTGGATGGAAGACGGGAGGAGGGGATAGGAGGAAGGTGTACACTATTGTTTGGAAGGAGAATCTCCTTCCATTAGGACTTTAGGTGGCAAGTTCTTATCTGGGGTTACTTCCCTTCTTCTTTTAATGCCACTGGGAACAGCTTGAGAGTCACTGGACTCCTGTCACACAAAATATCTGTCCAGAGAGGTCTTTTTCTGGCGTTTCTTTAAGATTTCCCTGAAGTGGGACACAGCACTGTCATTGTACATGTTGCAGATATGACTTGTTTCAGCTTGGTCAGGGTGATAGTTTTCAACAAAACTTTGCAACTCATTCCACATTGCACAAATCTCCTTAATCTTTGAAGAAGGCACCTCATCCAATCCCTCTTCCTCCTCCTCTGAAGCAAGTTCCTCGGCTGTGGTCTGATGCTGTTCCAATTGAAGCTCTTGCAGTTCGTCAGTGGTTAGCTCTTCCCTGTGGTCCTCCACCAACTCTTCCACATCCCCGTCAAAATCCCTCTGGATCGTGTTCCTCACTTTATTTACCAAAGGGCTTGCACTAGCTTTCCTTGGGTCCATGATGACTTATTTAGCAGTTGAAAGGACAAAAAACAATGGAATATTATAAAATGTATTGTGTGAACCCACGGGGTGATGGTCACGTGTTGGTAAACAATGGCACACTGAGCATGAATGGTGTGGGAGACTGGCTTGGTGTGCGTGGTGACGGGCGGACAGGTACCGGACGGTCTCCGAAACATGAGTCTTTTCACGAAACTCGAGGCCAAATTTTTCCAAAAAAACTCGCCAAAGGTCGAATTTCACGAAAGTCGAGGCTGCCGAAACTTGGGGGTCCACTGTACGTAAATGCCAGACAACAAATTTACACTAACTTATATTAAGTTAGTAATAGAACTAGGCATTAAAAAACACAAAAAAAGTAAAATACATACACGGTACATTCATTACTTACCTTAAAATATTTGTAGTCTTAATGTAGGGTGAGAGAGGAGTAGTATGTACTTACAGTGGACCCCCGCATAACGATTACCTCCGAATGTGACCAATTATGTAAGTGTATTTATGTAAGTGCGTTTGTACGTGTATGTTTGGGGGTCTGAAATGGACTAATCTACTTCACAATATTTCTTATGGGAACAAATTCGGTCAGTACTGGCACCTGAACATACTTCTGGAGTGAAAAAATATCGTTAACCGGGGGTCCACTGTATTTGTAGGAAGTTAGGTGTAGGTAGCCCTGGCTCCCCATCCCAAACTTAATTTACGTTATTTAAAGCAGCCCAGAGAGATAAAATATGCATACAGTACACTCATTATTTACCTCAAAATATGTGTAATCTTAATGTAGGATGAGAGGTGAGTAGTAGTTATTTGTAGGAAGTCAGGTGTAGGTAGCCAGTAGATGTAGCTATATAGTCCACCTGGCTACATGCCTGCACATATTTAATGCAGCCCAGAGCCACATTATTACCATCTGCATACCTTGTCCACTGAGTTTAATCATTTCTTTAGATGCCATCATAAATGAAGGGAGAAGTCATGAATAATTCATGCCGAGAGTTGTAAACAAAAGCAGATTCATACACGTTTTCTCTGGTGCTGGACCAGAGAAAACTTAGTGTTTTTCCTTTGCCTGGCTACCACACCTCCATAGCATATAAACATGGTATGTTTATGTGCTACGTAACGTGTTTCTTATATAATTTTGAAGAAAATATCATAGAAGGATTAATGAAAATGTCTATATGTTGTGTATCTTTATATGTTTATGCTTCTAGACTGTTGTATTCTGAGCACCTCTGCAAAAACAGTGATAATGTGTGAGTGTGGTGAAAGTGTTGAATGATGATGAAAGTATTTTCTTTTTGGGGATTTTCTTTCTTTTTTGGGTCACCCTGCCTCGGTGGGAGACGGCCGACTTGTTGAAAAAAAAAAAAAAAAAAAAAAAAAAAAAGTCTATATTAACGTAAAATAAGACATATAATGTCCCCAAGAGTGATTATTATTACGTATTTGTATTATTACTATGGCGTTAAGACTAGAGGGACTCTCTTAGTGATTTTAATGTGTACCTGCACCCCAGCACAGTGTGTAAGTATATTTAGGTACAGGTACACATTTAAAATATGCAATAACTTTAAAACACTTGAAATTTTTGAAAGTTTCCAGACATAATAGAGAGATGTGCTCACGGGGAATGTAAACAAACCGGGTGGGGCGCCATATTAGAAAGACGGAGCTGTATAGTAAATTTTGGGAATAATTTGAAATTGCCGTATTGGTGGAACGCCGTAAAGCAGGCCCTACTGTTTTTATAAATAAGAAATATCAACTCTATGGCTTATTTATCTATCAAAATTGATCTAATATGACATAAACACTATAAGTAACATAGAAAGATGATATATACTCTAGAATGAATAAAATAGGCCATAATATGGCGAGTGCCCAGGACCAGTCCAAGCATATAAAATCATTACTGCTCCTTCCTATAATGTGTTCTTTGGTCCTGGGCAAGAGAAAATGGAGTTTTCAGAGGCTAACTACACTAGATCACTAGTTTTATAAGGAAAACACAAACAAAAGCGATTTTCTTGGGAAAATTTTTTTCCCGAGACAGGAGGCTGGCCCGCATTCCTGGTGAATATCTTGGAAGTAAATTATTGACTTATTTCTTGAAGCCCACCATTACCTGAGAACTGAAATGTCAAAAGGGAACCTCATAGGTATGGTAACCTTAGACCTGCAAAAGGCCTTCGATACTGTCAACCACAATATATTATGTAATAAACTTCAATCTATCGGTATAGGTTCTGTAGACTGGTTTAAGTCCTACCTTAGCAACAGGAGACAAATAGTCAAAATCAACAAAACGGAATCAGAACCCCTGCCGATAACATGTGGAGTTCCCCAAGGTAGTATTCTGGGTCCCTTACTATTCTTATGTTATGTCAATGATATGCCTATCAGTGTCAAGTGCAAACTCCTACTGTATGCAGATGACAGTGCTCTGTTAGTGACAGGTAAAGACCCACAAGATATTGCTAATGTTTTAACACTGGAACTGGAGTCCTGCAGCAAATGGTTAGTAGACAACAAACTATCATTACACCTAGGGAAAACTGAAGCCATTCTCTTTGGAACGAAACATAAACTGAGAAGGGTAAATAATTTTAATGTTCAGTGTAATGGGGAGTCCATCACTTTGGTTTCATCAGTTAAATATCTGGGAATCCCCTTTGACCCATGCATGTCAGGAGAATTGATAGGGAACAGTGTAGTAAAGAAAGCGAATGCCAGGCTGAAGTTCCTGTATAG